GGACACCGTCAGTACTTTGTTACCTGCAGAATGATTAAAGACCGCCCTAAACAAAAGGTGCACATTAAAATCCAAAAGCAAATGCAGCTGAAAGTACAACAATCAATTAGTCTGCCTCACTCCAGGATGACAGTTTTACTGCTAGCAGAAACTTGTTTTCTACTCAGATCAAAAAAGTGAAAAGAAACCTCCCATTTAGTGCACCAGTGTGGAACTACAGGTTCCTTTCAAGATATGGCTGGATAAGATCTTCAGATCAACGAGCTAGCAGTCAAGCAGGGGTGGGAGGCTGAGCCGATTACATACAGTACGAGACTAATCTTTCTTGGGCTCTGTATTTGCTACCGGTCATGAAAACGAGTCAAATCAAAACCTGGAGGACTGAACGTGACCTGCAGGCTGTTATCAAATTGAAACTGGAACCAATTCTTCCCAGAGAAACCAAAGTGAAACTGCATGGAGGAAAACCACAGCTGTGCAGTTCGCAACCCGAAAGGAGTGATTAAGAGTGATCAACCCGCGTTAGTCAAGCTTGTTAATCCGACACTCTGAGCTACTGCACCTGCACATTCTCAGCCAGGCAGGACAGCATCGCGGAAGAGAGACTACCAGCACTAGCTATTAGCCTTAATCGCCATATAGGAAAAGCAAAGAAAGTATTAGACTCAATGTTGCACCATACCTTCCCTCGGCACACAGCAAAGAAACTGGCTCCATTCAGTTTAGGGTCGATCACTTTACTGTAGTAGCCATCAATTACCTAGACCCAGAGAAAACGTTAATTAAATAATATAATACACACTAATGTATAACAATACATACATTATGATCTATTGCATTCTTGTATATATTATATAATAATAATACAAGTCAATGATACATATCATAAAATGGAACATCACTAAAATCCAATAGTAATAATGTATACTGCGTGTGCAAACCTCAGTGAATGTCCCTTTCCCCCGGGGCTCCACAAACATCGGCTTGACATCTTCGATTCTGCCACAGTGTCCTTTCTCCTGGGAGAGCGAGGAGCAATTATTTCACTTCACAGAGCTGCAGCACTTAGGAAACAAAAACTTCAAGACGCACATTTACCTTCCAGTATTCGATGGTCTTATCCATCACAGGGTAGGAGGGAAAGAACACTAATAAGCCGTGAGGAACTACTCGTCCAACGTTCACTGAAAGGGAACCATGAAAAGTAAAAAAAAACACTGGCCTTCCTAAAACAATAAAAAAAACAGTTATTCTGAATTTCTAGTCAATGGGAACAGTTTCCACAGAGAATTAAATCAAATCTTGAAACCATGAAATGCAAAACTTCAAAGCAGCTAGGAAGAAGAGACCTCTTTTGAACGCGAATTTCTGAACCGATCAAGGTCATGACAAGGATGAAACGACAGCACAGTGCTTCCAAAAACAATTCTGCTGATCGAAACCTTCGTTTCTTTTCAAAAACAATTAAGAAAAAACTGTAAAAAAAAACGGGTTCAATGGATACATCACAGCTGCATAGGGGATACTTCGGAAAAAGTAGAAGTTCGTTGAGAAATCAATTATTTGAAACTGCTAGTATAAAACGGGATTGAAAATGAATAAGAAATAACATTGGCCTTACCAACAGTGTTCCCCAAGGATGCCATGTACTCAGGTAGAAACCTTTTAAGATAAGATAAGATTTTATTGTCCCCTGAGGGAATTTTTTTATGGACACCCAGCATACCTGTACATTTAAATAGAATGCGAAAGAAAAACATTGCACATTATACTACTGCACATGGGTTGTAAGAGTCAAAATTGTGTTTATCCTTGACATTTGTGTTGACAGCTTTAATGGATTGTGGAACAAAGGAATGTTTGTATCTGTTTGACTTACAGTTGGGAACCCTAAAACGTTTACCAGAAGGAAGAAGCTGATATACAGAGTCGAGGAAGGATCTGATATAATTTTCCCTGCCTGTTTGATGATGGATTTTTCAAAGATTGTCTGCAGGGAGGGGTGCTGTTTCACTCCCATGACCTTCACAGCTGTCTGGATGTGGCGGGTAATTCGCGATTTAAAATGAACTGATAGATGACCAAACCACACTGTAATACCATATCTGATAATGCTCTCGATTACAGCACGGTGAAAGAGTAGCATTACTTCCTGTCGAACCCCAAACACTCAGTCTTCACAGGAAATATAAGCGCTGCTGAACTTTGGAGCAAACACTCTCAACATGAGTAGTCCAGCACAGGTTACTGGCTATGTGTACACCTTAGTTCTTATATGAATCAACCTGAGTGATAAATTCGCCTTGGATTACAACCTGTGAGTGATCACCAACTGCTCCGGGTTCGAAAACTATTTCTTTTGTTTTTTTAGCATTCAAAATTAGGCTATTGTTGTCACACCACTGCACAAATCTTTTGGATTTAAGCACAGAGAGAGATATTTCCATAAAAAAAATGATAAAAAAAAGATCAAACCTGACAAACGGGGAAAAAACACAAAGCTGAGCCTTTAGGTGTGTAGCTATAACTTGAACAAAGCCATGCAATCCTGTTCTGCAAGAAGAGCCGACTATACAGAGGCTAGAGCAGGGAGCTGCAGAAGAACAAGTAGAAATTCATTCCATTTGGGAAAGAAAAAACATGTTTAGTCTGTGTGAGGACAGGGGAAAGCAGGGATACTCACAAGAGCAGAAAAGGATCGGATAAGAGGACGAACAAGGGGAATATGAAACTGGAAAGGGGGTGACAGAGGGGACCCCCAAGAGCTGGATCTCGGGGTGACTTGTTCCAGCATAGTACGGAAGGAACAGATCGGTAATCAAAAGGAGAGATTTAGAAAGAAATGGCACTTTGGACCCTCCCTGACACCCCATTCCCTCGTTTTCCCTTCTCCAACTAGAGTGTTTTTAAATTTTGGTTTTCGGCACGGAAAGCAGCCCCTACTTGTTCTCCGACTACACAGGCATTCCCTAAGTCATGCAATGCTCGACTTACTCAAATTCAAATTTCCATAAAACCACAGCAGATTTTTTATAATTCAGGCCTGCATAGACCACAGCCGTGTATACATAAATGGTAACTATTCAGGGCTGTATAACTGTTCCCTAAATATGTTTTGTTATTTAATTTGTGAGTGTTTATATTCTTTTTTCCATTTGAATGCAGAATCCTCTATATTTATTCTCTGACTTTTCACTGGACAAACATGCGTTTGTGTGACCTCAGCCATGCACAAAGTAGGGCAGGAACCCATTACGAGACGGAGCTGTCCATATATTTATGCAGCTGTACAATCTGCGATCTTTGACGGTCTTGGGTGTTTACAACTGGAAAACCGCTGTGAAATGGAAATGTGTGCGTTCCGTAGAAAGCCGAGTCAAGCCTTTCCTTTGGAGAAGACAACTGCTACAATTACTGTCTCACCTTCTGTCAAAGGCTGAACTCAGCTGGACGTTATCCGGCCCTTTGGGGATGATGCTTACAAATATCTGATGTTTAGCAATCACATGAGGGTTTTCCAAGGAAACTGGAAATGGACTGGAAGAGAGAGAGAGAGCGAGAAGTCAACATAAAAAGTTCACTGTGGGGAAAAAAATACCTAGAACACAGAAAGCACAAGCATGTGACTGGAGCAGAGGACAGATATGCCATGATGACAATCACAAAAAACTATTTAGGGACTTTTTTTAAAAATTGAGACAGTGACACCTCATAGTCACCCTGTGGCATGTGTGCATCAAAGCTATCAGACCCCTCTGCTCAGCAAACAGGAGGCCCTGGACTATGCAGAAATCTGAGTGCGCATAAGAGTTTACAGTAACCAAGGCCTGCCCTGTTTGTTTTCCTAATTCTTTCAAAAGAAAAACAGTCACCACCTTCCTGTTGTGCAGTAAATGGTGACTGGGAGATTTTGACAGACTTTACTGAGTAATAGTCGATAACCCCGTTACAAAGCTAACTCCTGACGTTCAACAACAAACATCAAAGAGACGTGTAGTAATGGACACAAGAGTTAAAACACAGTGACCCTTTTTCGATGTATCATTATTTCTTTCACAACATAACCCTACCCAGTAATTTGCGTTTTCCAAACATGCTGTACACCACAATTTGTGAATTGGGTGAGCTGGAAGGCAGCACACTCCAGCCACCAAAGTGAGCGAGAACAGCAGCAGGAATTCCCAGAACCCACAATTTCATTTCCCCAGACGAAAATATTTGTCGGGGGGGGGTACTGGAGAAAGGGTGTGGCATTAGCGAACTCCTGCCTGCCTCAGAGTGAGGGAGTCTGATTAAGGTCCCAGTATACTGGCAGTGTTTCTTCTGCTCTCTGTGCTTTGGCTTTTATGTTTCAAACCTACAGAACGCACGAGACACCGTTAAACTGGCTACAAACAGAAGAGAGGCCATTTGCCACACAGCTATGTGACATAAACCAACACCAGCCAATTAGAGAGAAGGAGAAAGCCGTCTTGGCACTGAAGACAGAAGAGAAGAAAAATGAAATGTTACACTAGCGGTGCCAGAGTTTCCCCAACCTATAAGTGCTCTTCAGTTATGTAAATAATATTGCAGTCAAAAAAAGGATTATGTGAACAGTTACAAAAACACACGTGACGGCGTGCCGGGACGATGGTAATTATGGAATATGACTTCCGTGTTCGGCGTGTGTCGGTGTGCTCTTCTGCTTGGTGTGTATTTGCTGCTGCCTGGCAACCCGAGTTCCCGGGGTGTCCCCCTGCCTCTGTCGTGCGCACTCGGCACCGACGTCAGCTGTGACGCAGCACACCCCTTGAGAACACGCCCGAAATATGACTGGATTTCCTTTGTGGCTTATTTGGTGTTCGTTGCCTGCCTTGCTGCTGTTTTATCTACAGATTTTAGAAGATTACTATGCCCAGTTTACGGTTAGTGCTATGCATTGGGAATAGCAGTCAGCATGATGCAAATCGCTGAAGTATAGCACTAATTCTGGTTATGGGTTTCTCATCTCATTACTCAAGTGTTTTCTGTGCATTAACGAGCTCTCAATCCTTCTACACGCATGCAATTCAAGACCCATGTCGTACAGCAACAGAATTAGTCCTTTGTGGGCAACTTTAAACTGGGCTTTTTTTACTCCACATCTTGTGTTTTTTTTCATGTGCATTGAGGCTGTCAGCATTTAGAGAACCAGAAGAAATACACTTGTTTTTAAGATCAAAAGGAGCCACAGAGATAGCATTACAAAGCTTGGATATTTAAGAGCTGGAGAAGTTTCTGATCAAACGTGTAACCTAAATGCATACATAACACTGTTATATCCATCTTTACAATTTGTAGACCTGACCTTTGTGAGCGTAAGCTGAAAAGGTACATGGGGGGAGAAAAAAAAACAAAACAAACACTAACATTTGCATTTCTGAGGTGAAGGAGGACAGCGGGGAGAGGGTCCCACTGGTGAGGATGATGCAGCGCACGCCCTGATGCAGCAGCTCCTGCATGCTGAATCCAGGGGAGAAGCACCAGTAGCTCAGAACATTCCCTGCAGAAGAAAAACAGAACAGAAACAGGAGTAATGCTCTTTATCTGGAAGCCCTTCTTCCCAGTTAAAGCCCTTTCAGTTAAGCCCTCTTCCCAAGAAGCAGAACAGAAATAAAAGAGGTTTTACAGTTGACTGTATTCTTCGTGGAGGGCCGAGCACTTCTGGCAAGTACCCCTCTCATCACCGGTAACCACACAGGCATCTTTTAGAGGCAGACAGAACCAACAGCGGGCTTTTACGGCCGACTTGCTGGGAAGACACGTGCTTCATTTCGGGTTTTAAAAAAACAACTGCTTCGTCTGAACTTCAGAGATATGCTCTCGTCCCACTGTAGGGATTCTCTGCGTGCCTCCTCACCCAGACCTTGAGATTATACAGAGACACTTCCAGATAAGCAAGACACAAATCTGAAAATGAAAAAGGGCATGGACACATGGAGAAGTGCCATAAATAATATTTGCTAGTCTGCAATGCCCAGATGGCCGGAAGAGAATCTGCTTTGATTTACTCCGCAGTCTCATAAAGTAACAGAAGATCACAAAGTACTAGTTGACATCGGGCAGCCTAACCAAAACATCCAACTTATTTTAACCAGTGGGATTTCACAGCCTATTCTGCATGTTCAGGTTTAGGATTTCTTCTTTTCACCATTCAATTCAAAGAAATACAGGGAATATTCCAATTCCTGAAAGGCAGCTTGAGAAGATGAATGGGGCAAAAAAAGGGTCAGTTCACAGTTGTTCTAGGAAACAAAAGGGGGAAAAATAATTTTCCATTAAAGAAAAGGGTTCTCTAAATCAGTTCAAATCTGTAGCAGCTGAAGACCAGAGAGCTAGACGGGTGTAGGTGAGCTTTAAACTCTCCGTATTACTCTGCTCTTCAAGGCCTGGTGCTGTGAACCCCTGAATTTCAGTGCACAGGGTTGGGGTGCAGGCTGTCTAAGGAATCTGTCTGCTTAGGGGAGGGGGGCTCCCAGTCTTACACAGGAGTAAGGGGTACTGGTGGCTTGGGACACCGGCAGAACGTTGCAGCTCACAAAAAAACATTTCATGGTTTACCACGGTAAACAAAAAGAAATGAAAACCTCGGTACCTTGTTTTTTGGAGGACGACGATGACCATATATCCGTGCTCTGTTTCTTTTTGTGACTGCTCGTGTCTCGATGGATATGCACCTGTGCAAACAGAGGATTTGACAGATCTTATTGTTTCACGGCTGTTATTGCTTCATCTAACTTCATTTTTAGAAACAAAAAAGCTAAGATCACCTGCAGGGCGGTGATCCATGG